ACCTCGCAGCACAGCCACATGTTCGCCCAGTCCAGGCGTCTGGGGCAGGAAACCTGAAACGTTGCCAAAGATAGCCCGTTTGAAAACGCCGTTGGGGTCGGTGGCGACTGCAGCCCAGCCCGCGCGGGTCCCTCCAGACCCTGAGAACCTCGATCCGAAACAATTCCCGTGGAGAAAAGAATCGTCGTCGCTCTCGAAAACACAATGATCGGTGCTGCCCGAAGCATCCAGGCATTCCATCGGCTCGTCCACGATGGGGGAGGCCCTGGGTGTCTGGCTAGGCATCCACAGCCTGGCAAACAAAGGGTCGTGGGGAACTGCTGCCAGTGCTTCGACTCTTCATTCTTCGTAAATTAGCTATCCCCTCTCCTGGTCCTTGGCGCTGCACTCCCGTGCGCGGTGCCAGGCCGTGTCTGGGGCAAGCTTGCACAGGCTGCACAATGGTGAGTCATGGTGGCCCCAGCTGTGGAGATTCGCTGAAGTCACGTGGCTACCGCAAGAAAACTTGACGGACCAGGTGCCCGTGACGGTCGGGGCGTCTTGAGTTTCTCCAGGAGGTCCGAAGTGGGTGAGTGCGGAGCCCCAAGGACTGGATCTCAAGCTCCTGCTCCGAGAGCTCCCCGTTGCACTGAAGACACCCCTTGTCCGTGACAGAAGAGCGGTCTTGAGATCCTCCAGGAAGATATGTTTGATGGCGAGCGGCGGTTTCTCGGTGAGGAGCATATCTAGCCCACTGGGCCAAAGTACTGTCGCAGGGTGGACGAAAACCCACGAGGCCTTCTAGGTCCAGCAGAGCATGTCCCCGAGAACTCCGAAGCTCTTCTTGGCCCAGCTGGTGTTCTCGTGCCCCTCACATCCTCCGCCTCGACCTCCTCATCCTCATCCTCCTCTTCCTGGGGCACCCACAGGGGGCCCCATCCTCAACTGCCTGAGAGGCCCGACACAAAGATGGGTTAGCCCCTACCCCTAGACATCTGGCCTGGCGGTCCGCTGTGGGGGCAACTCACCATTCAACAACCTGGAGTGAGCCTGCTTGCCTGCCCGAATGGGAGCATGTCATGGGTTGGAGAGTCCAGGGAAATTGTTGGCTCCCGAAGTTCTCCCTCCTCATCATCATCCTCATCATCATAATCAGCAGCAGCAGCATCGCCCTCATCATCATCGTCATCATCATCAGCAGCATCATCCTCATCATCACCATTATCATCATCCTCTTTCTCCTCCTCCTCCTCCTCCTCCTCCTCCTCCTCCTCATCATCATCATCATCCCTGCCTCCCTCCCTCCCTCCCTCCCTCCCTCCCTCCCTCCTGCCCTCGGAGGCACTCCTCCCTCAGAGGCAGCGGCCCGCCGTGCCTCTGCGGCCTCCCTCCTGCTCGCTGGCACCCGCTGCCCGCCTCGGGCAGGCAGGGCCCCGCCGCGGAAGTCGGCCACGCGCACCAGGGGGAGGAGGAGGGGGAGGGGAGGAGGAGGAGGAGGAGGGAGGAGGAGGAGGAGGAGGAGGAGGAGGAGGAGAAGGAGGAGGAGGAGGCGGAGGAGGAGGAGGAGGCGGAGGCGGAGGAAGTGGAGGGAGGAGGAGGAAGTGGAGGAGGGAGGAGGAGGAGGAGGAGGAGGAGGAAGGAGGAGGAGGAGAGGGGGGGAAGGCTTCTTAGAAGCCTTCCCCCCTCCCCCTGGCCCCCTGGTGCGCGCCGCCAAAAAGATGGCCGGGGCCACGGGCCCGAGCGGCGCGCAGCTCGGTCGCGGGAAGAGTGCGGGGGCAACGGCAGGGGGGGGATCGGCACAGGGGCAACGTTAGGGGAGCGTCTCGGGTTCGAGGTTCTCGGCGGCGCTCCAGCCTCGGCATGCCTTTCAGCGGCTGCGCCTCGCCGAGAGCGTTCTGGGGGTGCACGCCGGAGTCCCGAGTTATGGCCCGAAAGCTGGACGACGAGGATCATTGGGGGTGGGATACGCATAGAGGGGGATGCATCGACCCCCAATAGCCCTTTCATCGCCCACACGCGCCTGATAGCCCCACCCCGCCCAGGAAGGTGCGGAGCTGCCATCAGGGGGCCCATCGCCGATCTATCGGCGGTGTATCGCCGATTCCAGGTCGATGTTCCTCTCCCTAGGCCTATGCCCCCCCTATCGCTGCCCCTCAAAAATCACGGCGGGAGGTTTGTGGCCATTTCCTGCCTTTGGGGGCCCTCACTGGGATGAAGCTCTGGCCCCGGGGAAGGGACCTAGATCTCTGGGGGCCCACGGTGCGAAAAGAATCACGGCTCCGGAGTGGATGGATGGATGGAGTCCTCCTGGCGAGGCGGCATGCGAAGCACCCTGCAGCGACCAGGGGGGGCTCTCTGATGCAACCAGCACCTGGCTAGCGGAGGGAAGGCAAGAGACCCAGAAAATCTGAGGGTCCCGGCCGTCAGTTTCGATCCTGCCCGGACCCCGTGGCCGAGGGGTCCGGTGGAGACTTTTGATGGCGCCGTGCTTTTCGACGACGTCGGATGTCTGTGGTGGCGCAGGAGCGCTGGTTGGCATGACAGCCAGGTATGGGCAAGTTCCGGATGCGGGATGAGCCGTGGACCACATGTTTTTTTTGCTCGGAGCGTCGTGTTTGCAGCTAGAGGTTCAGATGCGTGTCGTCTGCAGCATCCCGGGGGCCAGGCCATCCAACGATCGCACCGTAGGAGACCCCGACACGTCAGGAAGCCAGCCGCCATCGCCGCTCTGGGGCAAGGCGGCCACGGGACCCAGTGTGCCGAGTCATATCTGCTACGTCTCGGCTCGTGTTGTTTAGAATTCATCAGTGGCAGCACACGGAAAATCGTGTTCCTCGCGGTGCGACCCGTTCCTCGCATTGCATGTTCAACATCATCCACGGCATCAGGAACGTCATCGTCGTCGTGATTGACAGGTTTGCCATCGCCGCGGGTATTGTAGCAGCTCCATGCGTTTGGTTGTGCCGCTATGTTTGCTAAGTTTGTTTGCGTGGTTGATAACACGCGGTAACTCTGCCGCTAGTTGGTATCATCCACCAGTGCTCTGCGGTGTGTCTCCATCGACGCGTGTTCCTCCATGCTCGCACCCTTTGCATTGGCTATGGAGATCCTTGTTGCCAAACTGTGCCCCTAGCCCCCCTGCTACAACAACAAAGACTCCCGCCCTATATGCTTTCCGAATTTGCTCCAGAATCCTGCTCTCGTTGGGAACGTTCTCTTAACCTACGCAGCGATCGCGCTCTCAGTTGAGACTTCTTCCCGGTTTACTCAGGGGTCGCGCTCTCGCAACTCAGGATGTGTGCTCTCGCCGTTCGGACATCGCGCTCTCGCTTCATGACTTTTCTAGAATATATCCAGGACTCGCGGTCTCGTCTAGGCGGAAGCTGTCTCCAGCCTCCTCTCCGTGAAACGGCTGCGTTTCTCAAGTCCGTGAACATTAAACTCCTGCCGCGGGCCCTTGCTGTCCTCTCTACAACAACACATTATAGATACTACTCTCGTCTCTCCCCTAACTGAGTCCGGAAGATATTCGCCCCCCTCCGCGCATCTAAGCACACCAGATTTCAAGAGTTGATGACTATCCTGGTTGTCTGTAGGATCCGATTGTTTTCGGTGCTTCAAAGTCGCGTTCCCGCTGCAGCGTGCGCCTCGTTTTCGATTCGGCGTCTGCTCCCGTCGTTCAGCATGGTGCTCTCGCCCCAGCGCAGGCCGCTTTTCCAGATCCAAGTCTTTTTTCATAGGTGTCGCCCCATCATTTCCCCTCCTCCACCTTCCAGTGGTCCTCGTCCTCCCTCTCCTGCCTCGTCCATGTCCTCCCTGCCCTCCTGCTCATCATCCTGCTCATCCGCCACCACCTTCTCATCCACTGTACGCAGTTCCCTTCTCTCCCGATTGCACAAAACACGCTGTGTCCTCTTTGGAGTTCCAGCGGGTTGAGAAAAAGCAGCGCAATGGGCAGGGATGGGTGGGAGGGGTAGGATGTCGGATATGGCGCGAGCGCACCTGGCTTGCCTCCCTTCCATCATCCTCCTCCTCCTCCTCCTCCTCCTCCTCCTCCTCCTCCTCCTCCTCCTCCTCCTCCTCCTCACCCCTCCCTCCGCCCCCCTTCATCCCGTTATCCCGCGCTCCCTTTCTCCGATCTTTCTTCCCTCCCTGAGCCCCTTCTTCCTGTTCCCGAGCATGGTCCCGCTCAATCCCGACCCGACCGCCCGACTTAGGATCCGCCCGAATCGACCACTGACCAGCCGTTTGGGTTTGCCCGCTCGCACGCTCGACCAGGTTCACCCCGTCCCAGCAAGTTATCAGTCTTGGGCTATCCGCCCCAGGCGCGATTCCTGGACATGCGAACGCATTCGGTGCTCTTCCTCCCTCGCTTCTACCTCCGCCCTGATTCCCTCGTTCGCCGTCTCGTCCTTCTTCTCCATGGCTTTTGCATCGCATGTGCATCGCATGGTGGAGTACCCTTCCCCTCAGTGGGCAAGCAGGCGAGTTTCATTATCACAGCATCGAATCGTGAGAAAAAATCCCGTCCCCGCAAGGAGACGGAACCCCCCAAATGGGCTGCGATCAAGGACACAGAGGGCGGGAAGCGAAGATGACGGGCACTCCGAGTTCTTCAAAAAAAGTGTGGGGGGGGGGGGCGCGCGGGGGGTGTAGGAATGGGCTGTCCTTCGCGCGGCGTGAGGGGGGGATCGCTTGAGGGGGCGGGTTCGGTGGGCGTTGAGGGTCCAGAACGGGCCGTTGGGCGGGGTTGCTTGCGGGGGGGTGCTGGTTGGAAAATCCGGAGTGCATGTTGCATGGCACGCGAGCACATCCAGTCGGCCCAGATTAGTAGGTCGACCTTGACAAATCAAGGGTACCCTTGTGTCCTGTGTCTCGCGGCCCATGCTTCCTACATTCATGTGGCCATGTGGCCCTCGGAAGGGTCTTTTGTCCTCTCGCGTGTCCTGTCCAAACAGCGCAGCCCATGTAGAGCAATCAGAGCGACGCCTCCCAAAGGCCCCCAGACGACGGCGCCGTCAATGCCATACGCTCCAGGGACACCTTCACCGACGGCCAGTGGAAGTGCCCGCGCCTGTGCACGGACATGGGGGGCGGATCGAAGCGGCGACGCACGAGAGAGAGAGATAGAGAGAAAAAAAAAATGGGAGATATGCGTAGTGGGAGCACGAACGGGAAAGGTGAAGAGGTTGCTCTCCTCCGACTCCTCCTTGTCTACGAATCCCCCCCCCGAGAGACTTGAACAACTGAGCACACAGCCCTGGGCCGCAGCAAGGCCGGATGCTCGGGAGGAGACGGCGGCGGTGGCCACCTCGTTATTTGGGGGGCGGCAGCTGTACCAGAGCGAGGGGTGGCCGAACGGTTTAAAAGCCGTGTTCCACAGGGGCGCGTCGGCGGGGCGGGCACGGCTGTCCAGGGGCCATGCGAGTTGATTCTACGGCGGGGCCGTACGAGAGGCACGCACGGGGAGGCCCCACGGAGGGACCACACGAGAGGACCACCCGGGGAGACCC